ATTGAAGAATTGAATGCAACTTGGCGTGGCGTTACGGAATTAACCACCGTTGAAGCAGCCATGGCGATTTTGTTTCTTTCATTGCCTCAAACGCCTAAATTTCGTGCTGGTGTGAGTAAATATTTTATGGCATATGATGATTTTGAAGTAATGAAATATGTTTCTCTGATTTTCAGGCTTTGTTCATTTCAGGCAATTTAAGAAACCAATGTAATATGGCGTGGTGTTACGCAATTAAGCACCATTGTAGACTCCATTGCGATTTGGTTTCTTAAATTGCCTGAAATGTAGCCATTCACGTGGGTCTGTGTATGTGTTTATGGCTGTGATGACTTTGAAGAAACGAAATCTGTTTATGAGATCCTTAGTCTCTTTAAGTTTGAGGCATCGTAGGAATGATTGTATCTTGGTGTGGCACTACGGAATTAAACGTTGTTGCAGCCATGGCGAATTCGTTTCTAATGACTCAAGCACAAAACCAATTTCAAATTTGAGCTACAACGGTGGTTAATTCGGTAACGCCATGCCATATTACGTCGGTTTCTTCAATGCCTCAAACGAACATAGCCTGAAATGTATCCATTTTACTCCGCTGTGAATGAGTTTATGGCTGTGATGATTTTGAAGAAACGAAATCCGTTTATGAGATTTTTAGCTTTTGTTCATATAAGAGTCAAACGTATCTTGGCGTCGCATTACGGATTTAACCGCCGTTGCAGCCATGGCGAATTCGTTTCTGATATGAATCAAGCCCAACACTGGATTTTAAATCTGAGCTAAAACGGTTTTAGGCCCTGATATTTAGGCTTCCCAATTCTGTTACAGTGATTTTTAGGCTTTGTTTGTTTGAGGCAGTGAAGAAACTGAACGTAACTTGGCGTTGGGTTACCTTACTTACCACCATTATACCAGCCATGGCAATTTGGTTTCTTAGATTGCCTCTAGTGTATCAATTTTGTGTGGGTGTGTATAAGAAATCACGGGTGTTCAGATTTGATTTTATGAAATTAATTACTTTGATTTTCCGGTTTGTACAGTTTGAGGCATTGAAGAATTGAATGCAACTTGGCGTGGCGTTGCGGAATTAACCACCGTTGAAGCAGCCATGGCGATTTTGTTTCTTTCATTGCCTCAAACGCCTAAATTTCGTGCTGGTGTGAGTAAATATTTTATGGCATATGATGATTTTGAAGTAATGAAATATGTTTCTCTGATTTTCAGGCTTTGTTCATTTCAGGCAATTTAAGAAACCATTGTAATATGGCGCGGTGTTACGCAATTAAGCACCATTGTAGACTCCATTGCGATTTGGTTTCTTAAATTGCCTGAAATGTAGCCATTCACGTGGGTCTGTGTATGTGTTTATGGCTGTGATGACTTTGAAGAAACGAAATCTGTTTATGAGATCTTTAGTCTCTTTAAGTTTGAGGCATCGTAGGAATGAACGTATCTTGGTGTGGCACTACGGAATTAAACGTTGTTGCAGCCATGGCGAATTCGTTTCTAATGACTCAAGCACAAAACGAATTTCAAATTTGAGCTACAACGGTGGTTAATTCGGTAACGCCACGCCATATTAAGTCGGTTTCTTCAATGCCTCAAACGAACATAGCCTGAAATGTATTGATAGATACCAAAAACTGGAAACTAAAAACAAGAACAAATCTTCTAAATCTCTTTAAATCAAGAATCTCGATTTTTGAGACTAAGAAGCCCAAGAGAATCTCTGAAAATATAAATGTAATATTACTCTCCCCCTTTAGCATAAACTGGCTAAGGGTATAAATAATGCAGTAATACAAGGGAAATAACAGAAAAGAGAAACTGACTCCTTGGGTTTAGATGGTGATCCCATCATCCCACAGTTATCTCAACTGACTCTAACAACTTTGACTGACCCAATTGCTAATAAAAAGGGATATTTTAAATGACTAACAACTTTGACTGACTCAATTACTAATATGAAGGGATAGACTCATATTTAGGTAAATAAATAAATAAACATGACCAAGTCATAAAACATGACTAAGTCAAATGCTTATTCCTGCGCCGCTGATAAGTGAGCAGTGGCTTAGTCTTATTCAGAGTCCTATCATGTATCCATTTTACTCCGCTGTGAATGAGTTTATGGCTGTGATGATTTTGAAGAAACGAAATCCGTTTATGAGATTTTTAGCTTTTGTTCATATAAGAGACAAACGTATCTTGGCGTGGCATTACGGATTTAACCGCCGTTGCAGCCATGGCGAATTCGTTTCTGATATGAATCAAGCCCAACACTGAATTTTAAATTTGAGCTAAAACGGTTTTAGGCCCTGATATTTAGGCTTCCCAATTCTGTTACAGTGATTTTTAGGCTTTGTTTGTTTGAGGCCGTGAAGAAACTGAACGTAACTTGGCGTTGGGTTACCTTACTAACCACCATTATACCAGCCATGGCAATTTGGTTTCTTAGACTGCCTCAAGTGTATCGATTTTGTGTGGGTGTGTATAAGAATTCACGGGTGTTCAGATTTTGAATTTATGAAATTAATTACTTTGATTTTCAGGTTATTACTGTTTGAGGCATTGAAGAATTGAATGCAACTTGGCGTGGCGTTACGGAATTAACCACCGTTGAACCAGCCATGGCGATTTGGTTTCTTTCATTGCCTCAAACGCCTAAATTTCGTGCTGGTGTGAGTAAATATTTTATGGCATATGATGATTTTGAAGTAATGAAATATGTTTCTCTGAAATATGAAATATGTTTCGTGCTGGTGTGAGTAAATATTTCGTGCTTTGTTCATTTCAGGCAATTTAAGAAACCATTGTAATATGGCGCGGTGTTACGCAATTAAGCACCATTGTAGACTCCATTGCGATTTGGTTTCTTAAATTGCCTGAAATGTAGCCATTCACGTGGGTCTGTGTATGTGTTTATGGCTGTGATGACTTTGAAGAAACGAAATCTGTTTATGAGATCTTTAGTCTCTTTAAGTTTGAGGCATCGTAGGAATGAACGTATCTTGGTGTGGCACTACAGAATTAAACGTTGTTGCAGCCATGGCGAATTCGTTTCTAATGACTCACGCACAAAACCAATTTCAAATTTGAGCTACAACGGTGGTTAATTCGGTAACGCCACGCCATATTACGTCGGTTTCTTCAATGCCTCAAACGAACATAGCCTGAAATGTATCCATTTCACTCCGCTGTGAATGAATCTATGGCTGTGATGATTTTGAAGAAACGAAATTCGTTTATGAGATTTTTAGCTTTTGTTCATTTAAGAGACAAACGTATCTTGGCGTGGCATTACGGATTTAACCGCCGTTGCAGCCATGGCGAATTCGTTTCTGATATGAATCAAGCCCAACACTGGATTTTAAATCTGAGCTAAAACGGTTTTAGGCCCTGATATTTAGGCTTCCCAATTCTGTTACAGTGATTTTTAGGCTTTGTTTGTTTGAGGCAGTGAAGAAACTGAACGTAACTTGGCGTTGGGTTACCTTACTAACCACCATTATACCAGCCATGGCAATTTGGTTTCTTAGATTGCCTCAAGTGTATCAATTTTGTGTGGGTGTGTATAAGAAATCACGGGTGTTCAGATTTGATTTTATGAAATTAATTATTTTGATTTTCAGGTTTGTACAGTTTGAGGCATTGGAAAATCTTGATATCAAGAAGGGAGTAGGAGAGAAGGAGAGGGTTGGTAGAAGGGAATTCGGTTGCCACAATAATATTTCAAATGCTGAACTGTTCAAGTAGATTAGATAGTATTTAGAGCTCTGGGTAGGACTCCTCATGCAGAGTAACTAACTAATTCAGGGCCACTAACTGCTAACTAAATCAGGGATTTAGGGTTTTTTTTATTATTATAAGAAGTGGAAAATGTGAGAGAAGGATTCTGAGAAATTCTGTTACCATGACGAAAATATCCGCAAGGAGGATTTCTGCAGCGGTTCTGAGGGAGTTCTGCGACCTCAATATGCCAAGATAGAATTTTCAACTTTCGCTGGAAATTTGTTCCGATCAGTTGGCAGTGATGAGAGAAGTTTTTCACATCACAGAAAAAAAAAAGACGAAGATCAATTTGGTATTGTTTCATTATTCCCCTTGCTGGATAACACACACCTTTTTTGGTTGGATGATATGATAGAAGAAAGCACGTGGGATGAGACATTCTTTAATGAACTTTGTGTTAACCGTTTTGAGCCACCCCTGGAATACGAACCGGTGGGCAAATTGTTGCTCTTGATGCAGTTATTTTAGGGCAGGGGAAGACCCACTGAATGGGTAGTGAAGATTGTGTCTCTCTAGCTTGAGCTTGCTGACAAGCTCAAATTCGAGGGAGGGATTGATGTTACAGATCTATAGTTTAATATTTAGTTATTATTATTAATCTTATTATTATTAGTACTCCGTATTATTATTATTATTATTATTATTATTAGTTTTCTAATAATTATATTATTAGCTTATTATTCATAGGAATATTAATAGTATCTTATTAGTCGTATTCTAGTTAATGGTATAAATAAGGAATTATGTTTTCTAGTATGATTATGATTGGTCTATTGTAAGGCTTTTTCCGATTTATACTCGCACAACCATTGATAAATTAATAAATTCAACACTTTTTTATGAGAAGCTAGTCATAGACTGCTCTCCCCTTCTTCCGGCCATGGGCAAGGATCAATATCTTCTTCTTTTACATTTGTTAATGCGTCCGTAACAATCGGCTACCCTTTTACATAGCTGGATTGGTTGTAGTTATTTTTAGATTTATTGAGAAGCCATTTTGTGAGCTTAATCAGCTAATCTACAGCTGTAGAGGATTTTTATTTATCTTAAGCTATTATAGGACATATATACTTTTATCCTCCTATTTGAGGCGAAGTGTTGAGATAGGTTTTGGGAATCCTTTACGGTTATACTTGTGAGCAAAATCCTTAACGGTTATACCTGTGAGAAAATCTGCTAATATACACTGTAAATGATTAATTGTCCTAGATCAGTGATTCAGTGTATAAGTTAGGATTGTTTTATAGCTTGATTTGCACAACTAAAGAGTGTAATTGTCTAACATTCAACACTATCCATCCTGCTAATGTGACTAGCAGTCCACCATGGACTTCTAATACTTGTAATGTAATACAGAGTATGTCGTTAGAATGCTATTGATTAAAGTTGCTTTTATTTTTTTCAGACAACAGGAGAAGAAGCCATTTTCCACCGAGTGATGGGTCCACGTCGTCATTCTTTTGCTAAAATACGCAGCTTGAATCCAATAAAAGTAGACCTCTTTCTTGTCCTATTTCCATTTCTTTCCGGTTTTAGCCTTAGAAGCATGATGTTTCTTACATTTCCTTCAACAGGAAGCAGAGGAGCCTAAAACATTCTCTACTTTTAGGGAGCGGCTTCGCCATTTACAGGCATGAATATCTAGCATTTAGGTCATCGTGTTCAAAGTTTAATAGTCAATACTGCATTGGTCAATTTTTTAACGAAAGATATCCAACCTCTGGGCCATTTTGCTTTTGTGGATCTACAGAGAACAAAAAACGATCGAGTTTGCTTTGGCCATTCTGGGATACACAGATGGGGTCTTTTTGCCCGCCGAAGCATCCCAGAAGGAGAGATGGTACACTCTTAAGCTATTTTTTGTGCCCAACATTTCTCTACCTTATCATCTTGTGTAGTATTTGTGGCTGTCAACTGTTACAGTTTCATTAGACTAGATATCACTGAGGGGATGTTATATAATAATGCTAGTGTCATCATGTAATTACTACATGTTGTAGGAAATTGATGGATGTTTACTCACACTAGAGGGTCTCATTTAATATTGGTTACTGGTCCTAAATGGTCAATTTTATGGCAATACGTTTTGCGGGATGTTGAGATATCCCCCTTTCTACATAAACTGTTGAATTCAGCCACCCAAAAAGAATTTTGATGATTTCAGGTTCTTGAGTATCGTGGTGAGCAGGTCAGGCGAAGTATTGCTGATCTGAGGGAGACAAAATATCGAATTGAGGGGAAAGACTGCTATGTGAGTAGATTAATGCATTTTTTTCTTTCTTATTTGTAGATTTTACATTGGTACAGAAGCACACACTCTCTCATACGTACTAGGGAGGAGGAAAAAATGAAATAAATATATTGCCTAGTCATGTGTTGTCAAGAATTTTCTTTTTTTTTGCAGCTTTTTAAGATAAGTGAAGAGGTTGTGGTAGATGCCACTGATAAGGGGAACATTGCACGCTTGATAAACCATTCAGTAAGTTCTGCTTGCGAAAGTGATCAATCATCATTATTGTTTTGCATATATTGTTCTTTAGCATTTCTATTTTCAGATTCAGATTCAACTAGAATAAAATACTCAGAAAAAGAAAAGATCATGAGCACTCAAAGAATCATGTGTTCTTTATTATATTATCATCTTATTTAGAAATTAGTGAAGCAACAGTTTTGTGCTATTGTTTTGTTACAGTGCATGCCAAACTGCTATGCAAGGATTATGAGTGTTTGTGATGATGAAAGCCGGATTGTATAAATCGCAAAGACGAATGTGTCTGCTCGTGATGAGCTAACGTATTTCTCTCTCTTTTTCTCTCACTCTCGCGGCATTTGCTTGTGTTGGTGTAACTGAAGAAGATTGTGCATGTTGTAGGGTAGTACTAAGGTTGATAATGGGGTTCTTATTGTTGTTATTATTATGAATTCATTAAATGCAGGTATGATTACTTGTTTGATCCTGATGAATGTGATGAGTTCAGAGTTCCTTGCCGCTGTAAAGCTCCAAATTGCAGAAAGTTCATGAATTAGCTTAACATGGTTTCGTTTCTTCTTTCATTTTCTCCTCGAGAAGGAGCTCTAACCGTCTTCATTGGCTCCCTCACGTCATCATAGTAACATACCAGTACATCATTCTCTAATAATTAATCTCTTTATTTATTTATTTTTTTGTCATTTTTAGGTAGGTGGAGGGGGGAGGCTTGGTTGTTAATATTATTCTCTTTTTGCGTTCTTTTTTTCGGGGCTTATTCAATTATTATAGGCTAAAAAGTTTGGTGGACGCATTTTGTATAGATCGGTTGTTTATTGTGACTGAATGCTAATGTGATTAGTTTTCACTTACAGAGAGAATATAGTGGCGGAAAAAAAGGCTTTGCTTGATTTTACATTATACTATGTATATCTGTGTGTGTGCTTCTTCTTTTTCTTCTTCTTTGGGTTTGTTCCATTACGATGGGGTTTGGTTCATGCTAGTCATTGCACGGGAGCTTGTCGATCGCAAAGAAAATGGTAGTATGCTTGTAAATTGAAATGGATAATTTAAATGTGGAAGGATGGAGCATGTGATAATGCCCCATGTGACAATGTACCGCAAGATTCCAATACTTTTCCTACCCATCTTTTTTTTGGGTGCATTTCCTACCTAACTTTAATGCTGCATTTGGGCAAGTTTTTTTACATTTCGAAAAAAACACCATAGAGAATGATTTTCTTATCATCCAAGTTCCAATCTATGCATCGATACACATTATATTATGGTCGACTGGTTCGTGGGAGAAGTACATAAATAATAATAGAAGTAGTGCTCTCATATTGCACACTACCATTAGAATGCCATGTGAAGCACTGCTTTGTTCGCCCAAAAAAATTTGTGGAGGCTCGAGACTCAAACTCGACTTGATCTGTTTGAAGATGGTCGGATCCGTCCAAAGAACTGTCCCGAGGTATCCGCCATAGTCTAGAAGACTAAGGAATTCTCTAGAAACATGGGAGCCTTGCTAGTGACGCTTGGAAGGTTCTGGAATATTATGGAGTAGTGTAGAGATATCATATAGTCTTACAAATATCTTAGATATATGTGTAGAGTATTCTAGACACTCAATTGTAATCGTTAAATCAAGTAGATCTTAGTCATTCATTAGGAGGTGGAGAAATATAAATACCCCTCCCCTCATTCATTTCATTCACTTAAGAAGTGGGAAGCATTGCAAATTTTAAAAACAGAAAGTAATACAAAGTTCTTTCTTGGAGTCCGAGTTTCTTCATACTTAGCATCTTGATATTCTGCTAAGTCTTAGAGTAGGCTAACTAACAACTCAGGGAAGAAGTTTGCTAGATCTCACGGTTCATTGGAATTACGACCAAGTTTGTAACAGTTGGTATCGGAGCACAAGATTTGAAGGAAGATGAAAGGTGGAAGTGAGTCTACCAACGTGACCAAGGGAGGCGAGAAGAAGACCAAGATCTAGAGATCTTGCTCAAGGGAGACCATGGACGCTTTTGAAACAAGGCTAGCAAGGGGTGAAATTGCCATCGCCGACGGGGAGGAGAATTTCTAGGAGATGGGGCAAGGCATGGATGAGTTCTGTGAGAAGACGCAAGCCACGCCATAAATAAAGTCTTTGCTCAATGTCTCGACCAAATCAAGAAGGCCATGGAAGAGTCTCATAAGATTGAGGTTTCTTCAATACGAGAAGAGCTCGAGAGACTCCAGCTCCCGTAAGTTGGAGAGCGTCGAGGAGGAGCTCGTGTTGTGCAAGAAGGCTTTTGCACAAGGTAGTGCATCAATGTTCGAGCTAAGGACTTCATCTTTTAAGTTACATATTCCGCGACCCAAGTCCTACAAAGGGTCAAGGAATGCGCGAAAACTTGATAACTTCATATGGAGCATGGAACAATATTTCCGAGCTCTTGCCATTTCCGAAGAGAAATAGAAAGTTGATATGGCAAGTCTCTTTCTTGAGGACACCGCCATGGTGTGGTGGAGAAGGAGACAAGGGGATATGGAGAAAGGGACGTGCACCATAAACACTTCGGTCGAGTTTAGGGGTGAACTCAAGAAATAGCTAGTTCTACCCTAGCAATGTAGACGAGGAGGCCCAAGGATAGTTAAGGCAACTTCAACATAGAGGAAGCATACGAGAATACGTGAAGGAGTTCACCGAGGTACTTCTTCAAATCCTAGACTACCCTGATAAAGAAGCTTTCTTTGCCTTTATGGATGGGTTGCAGCCATAGGCTAGACTTGAGATTCAAAGACATGGTGCTCAAGACTTAACCACCGCCATTTCCATTGTCGAGTCCCTTATCCTGTTCAAGAAGCCTGAAAAAACAAAGCCAAAGGATCAGGACAGAAAGGAAAAGAGTGGGGGAGATCACGACCGAGGCAAAGAAACGATCAAGAAGACGAAGGGAGCCAAGAAGTACAAGGTTGGAGAGAGACCTCCACTAAAATGCTTCTTTTATGAGTGTCCACATAAGGCAAGGAAGTGCCTAAAAAAGGCAAAACTCTCGGCACTAATGGAAGAAATAGAGGAGCAAGAACGTGAAGAGGAGAGAGTAGGATCCTTATAACCCCTCAATGCGATCAAGGCAAAGGTGGATATGCCTTGTTTGTAGAAGCCAAGAAGGGCATGTTTCTATCTTAACTCCTAATTTTCAGTTTCTTTTAGTTCTTTTCATTTCTTTCCAGATTGTTCTATTTTTTCTAGTTTCTTCCTGTTTCTATCAGTTCTTCCAGTTCCTTCCAATTTTTTCCAGTTTCTTCAAACTATTTTTATTTTCTTCAAACTCTCTCTACTTTCTCACAAATCACTATAAAAACAATATATTATTATTGATGGGTAATAACCCATGGATACCACCCGGTTGGTTCACCCGACTGGGTGGTGATGCAAGTGACACACGCACCCTTCTCAGCCCAGGTTATTTCACCGGGTGGATGGGAAGGCCAGACGCCAATAACCGAAGATCTATTTTCCGAAGTATGCCTGGTTGACCAGTCAGCCGCCTGACCGGTTGAATAACCAGAGACGTGCTTAATTTTGTTATAAATACCCCTAAAACCCTCATTTGTGAGGTATGCTTTAATTAATCAACACGGCTTGTACTTTGTAATAGCTCCTACTATTAATAATAACAAACCGGGTTACAGGTGTTTTCACCTACAACCCTTCCGTTCACTTATACTTTGCATTTGCGTGGTAATTTACACCATCAATTATTATTATTACAACTATAATATTCATAATTATAGTTCATAAATTATTTCATTTTTTCATGTCACTGTTTTTATGATTCACACTCATTATTATTTTTTCTTCAACTTTTTAATATAAATAATACTACTTTTTTAATCTGCATTATAAAATAGGAAAACATTAATATTTTAAACTATTTAAAAAATTGATAAAATAGTTACATAAAATGTTTTTTAATCTAAATTTATGTAAGATAAACATCAATATTGTAATCTACAATATTTTAACAAATAATATCATCAATAATTACAATACTACTAACAAAAAATTTATACTTATGAAAGTCAATTTATACAACTAACAAACTATTTATACCTTTTTACTCAATTTTTTCTCTTTTTTATTTATTTCAAAAATTAATTTTTTTTATTTTTCAAATTTTTTTTAAAAAAATTAAAAGTCATAGAACTTTAGAAAAAAATGACTAAAGTAGAAATAAAACATAAAAAATATAAAAAAAAATTCTATGTCTTTATTCTAGAAGTAGGGTTACAATGACAATTAAATTTTAATCATTAAAAAAAATAAGTTTGATTACATTATGTGACATGTCTTATATTTAAAACAAAATCTTGTAATATATAATGTATAAATGCATATATATAATTTTATGATAAATACTGCATAACCATAATACTCCCTCCGTCCGCCTAAGATGTTCTCATTTTGACTTTTGGTGGTTTTTAAGGATAGTTGAAAAAATGTGAAAGTTTACAATAATACCCTTAATTAAAATGGGTGGAGTGTATTAAATGAGGTGGGTGAGGTGTAATAAATAAAGTAAGTGGGGGTAGTTGTGGTATTTTAATTGTTAAAAAATGAAATGAGAAGATTTATTGTGGACAAAGAAAAAGGGTTATTGAGAAGATCTATGGGGGACGGAGGGAGTAACTTTTAAGTATTTACATTTTGATACTTATGGTAATGTTATATTCTAATCAAAATTTTTTCAAAAGTATTTTTTTTGTATGAAAAATAAAAATATTTTTTTTATTTTAAAGACATTTATAAAAGGCTTGTTTGAGAATAGCTTTAGCGATTAGCGTTAGTGTTTTGAAAAGGATATCTACGGACAGCGTTTAACGTTTTCAAAATAATCTGCACCGTTAAAATTTTATCCAAAACGCTAACACTAATTTCTAATGCTATTCCCAAATAGGCCCTAAGATAACGTGATGACACTACCTCCACCAGCACCAACAATAACAACAACAACAACAACAATAATAAAAATTTATAACAACAAGAATTAAAATGAGAATAAGATAAAAACACACAAAAAAAAATTTCAAAGTTTTTTTGAATTTTCTAATGTTTTCTAAATTTTTTAAATTTTTTCCAAAATTTAATGGTGGAACTCTTAGTTGTTGAAACACTGGCATGTCACGTTTTCGTACTAAAGCCGTGTTTGCTTTTATGACAGGTTTTGATAATGCCAAACCGCCGTGATCAAGTCAAACATTGAATATACAAGGCGAAGAAGGAAGACAAGAACAAGAGCTAAAAAGAAGACCAAGAACGAAGACCGTAGTCTTAGTGTCGTTGAGTCGGTCCTTATTGTGATCAAGACCGATCCAATCTTTACACCTTGGCTCTTTAGGCTAAAATCCTTCATTGCATTTCTTACATCATAAAAATGTTTTTCAAACTGGGTTAAGTCATTAAAAACACTTGGTGTTCGCCCAAACCAAAAACCAAGCCATCTAGCGTTCGGGTTTCAGAAACCGGCGTTCGGCTTTCGGTTATCGGCATTGGTTTTTGGCGTCCGAACCAACAAAGTGGTTTTCAACTTTTTATGATTGGTTTTCGCTCTTTGGCATGTTTAAACGGTTCTCCAACAAAAACACCTTGAAAACCATCTTTCGCTTTTGGTCGTTTGACAAAAATCATTCAAAAACGGCATTAACTTGGCTAGCCGTGTTTTTCACTCAAATGACGTGGTTTTTAAAGTGTCTTACTTGATTTCTTAGCCAAATACATCAAATAAGTGTTCTAAACACTTGGTCTTTATTTTGGAGAACTTTGGATTTTTCGGTCAGTTTTTGCATCGGTTGGCTAGGCCGTGGTTAAGCCAAAAACCATGGGTTCTTGACTAACCACCCACCCAGCGATGGGAAGATCTTCCCATCGATGGGTAAGCGGTCCCTTAGCCAAACCTATTTCCAAAACCATGCCAAGCAGCGATGGGAAGTTCTACCCATCGCTGTTCAAGCCTTGGTACAAAATTAACACAAGGCAGAACAACCTTGCCCAGCGATGGGAAACCTATCCCATCGATGGGAACCCAGCGATGGTAAGTATAAACCATCGATGGGAAGCCATGACCGTTGTAGGTCATTTAAGGTTGATTCTTTCCTTGTTTGGAAGTCAACCTCCCAACCAGCGATGGGAAGCTTGTACCCATCGATGGGTAGGTGACCGTTGACTTCAAATCTGAAGGAAAATTGGCTTACCAGCGATGGGTAAGTCCTAAACATCAATGGGAAGCCAATATTCTGCAGATCCCAAATCTTTTCAATCCCATAAATCAAGCTAATCACCCCTTTAATGCATTGGTCCGTTGGAGCCTAATTTTGCACTATAAAAAGGGGTGTTTGGGTCTGCTTTTCTCACCAATTCACTTCACAACATCTATACTTTCATTGCATTCAAATATCACGATTTTCCATAGCTTTCTAGAGCCATTTTTGTGTGAAGGTTGAGTTGTTCTTGAGCGTACTTAGTTTACTCAAAATCTACTCTATAAGAGAGTCTCGTTCTTGAGTGTACTTGTGTTCTTAGACACGTTGAGAGATAGTATCTCTCTCGGTTGATTCAAAGGAAGGTCTGTTTCCTTTGAAGGATTCGTTGAGGTTCGTGTGACTCGAACTCTCAGGTTGTAACGGTTTGTTAAGCACCCGTAAGCTTAACAAGATAGTAGTGTAGCTCGAGAGAGTCTCTCGGGAGGCTGGATTAGCCACAAGTTGTGGTGAACCAGGGTAAAATTCGGTGTGCCTTTTACTCTTTTCTTTACTACTCTTTTAATTTTTTAATTCCTGCGATTTCTCCGATCAAACGCTATTCACCCCCCTCTAGCGTTGGTCTATTATTCTAACAATTGGTATCAGAGCCTAACTCGCGTCCAAACTTAACCGTTTGAGAGTAAAGCGATCATGGGTTCTTCTTCTAGAAATCTTTATGCAGGAATTGGAGAAGGTCAATCAACCTCTAGGCCACCGCTTTTTGATGGCACCAACTACACATACTGGAAAGAACGGATGGGAATTTATATCCGCTCAACCAACTTTTAGTTGTGGTTGGTCATCAAGAATGGCGAGGAGATTCCAACGAAGAAGGTCGGTGAAAAGCTCGTCCCAAAAACCGAGGACGAATTTGATGCCGAAGACATCAAAAAGGTGGAGAACTACGCCAAGGCAATCAACATGCTGTATTGTGCTGTCAACCCTGATGATTATCGCAAGATCTCTTGCTGCACCACTGCCAAAGAAATGTGGGATAAGCTGGAGGTCACATATGAAGGTACGGACCAAGTTCGGGAAGCCAAAATTGACTTCCTAACGCAGGAGTACGAGATGTTCAGAATGAAGGAAGGCGAAAAGATCGATGACATGTTCGATCGGTTCTCAAAAATCATCAACGACCTTCACGCTCTCAGGAAGACGTACGCCAACAAAGACCTCGTGAGGAAAATCCTGCGGAGTCTCACAGCCGAATGGAGATCAAAGGCTGACGCAATCTATGAATATAATCCATCGGAGTCTCCAACATCACCATCGACGGGCTAAGAGGTAACCTCAAAACTTATGAATCCACTATTCTAACCCCGTCTTTGGATGAACAAAAGAAGAAGGGAATAGCGCTGAAAGCAACCAAGGAGACCGTGGAAGTAGACTCAAGCGATGATGACAACGAGTTCGGACTCGTCATCAAGAAATTCCACAAATTTATGAAGAAGGAATTTGAGCGCAAAGGAAGAAAGCATGACGGTCCCCCGAAGTGCTATGGGTGTGGCGAGATAGGCCACATCAAGCCGAGGTGTCCAAAAGGCAAAAGCGGCAAGGACAAACCTGGCTTCAAAAAGCAACGTGCCTATATCTCATGGGGTGGTGACTCCGGCGACGAGTCAACTGATCAAGAAGAGGAGGAAGCCGCCAACCTCTGCCTCATGGCACACGAAGACCACGTCGACGAAATACAAGAGGTATGTACCCCTTCTTCCGACTCTTACACTCTTAAAGAGATGCAAGAAGCTCTTCGAGAAGTTTATGATGAATTTGTCAGCGCTTCTAAAACCAACAAATCACTAAAGAAACGTCTTTCAACCCTTGAAAATGATTTTGAAAAGTTGGAAAAAGATAATGAAAGGTTGAAACAAGAAAATAAATTTTATGGTAAGAGAAGTGCTGACAAACCAGAAAGTTCTTCAAGTGAATGTGAATCTTGCAAAACTTTAAAAGAAAAAGTTGCAAAACTTGAGAGTACGGTTAAGAAGTTTAATACACCACACAAAGATCTTAATTTACTTCTATACACCATGCACTTTTCTAAGGAAGGAATAGGTTTTGATAAAAATGAATTTAAGGATAAAAACGTTGAGCAAACATCTAGAAAACCTCCTAAGGCTCAACATAAGAAAGTTAAAAATCAGGATAATAGAAAATCTAGTCAACCTAAGGACACTAGACAACCTAGACAAAAACCTAGGAATGAAAATGCGCATGATAGACAATCTAGGAAAAGTTATCAAAATGATTCTATGTATAAAAATAATTTTTCAAATAGACAAAATAATCCTAGAACACCTAGAAGGGAAAATTTTCAAAAACCAAGGTTTTCTCAAAACAGGATAAATATGGTTAGGCACCCTAGCAACTACTATCAACCTAGGAGGATGCATAACCCAAACGTAGTTTGTCATTATTGCAATAGGGTAGGACATATAGCTCCCGTTTGCTTTACTAGGCATAGGCATTGGGCACAAAATGAATCACACTACCACTTTGCACCTAACACTCAAGGACCCAAAAAGACTTGGGTACCTAAATCTTATTAAATCATTCTTGTAGGTATGCTTGAAGGCATCAAGTGTACTTTGGTACCTTGATAGCGGATGCTCCAAGCACATGACCGGAGATGCATCCAAGTTCCTACAAATCAAACCCGCTAAAGGAGGAAACGTAGTCTTTGGAGATAATAGCAAAGAAAAGATTATTGGCGTTGGCTCAGTAGGTAAGTCCGAAGACTCCTCTATAGATAATGTCTTGCTTGTCAAAGGTCTTAAACACAATCTCTTGAGCACAAGTCAATTATGTGACAAGGGAAACCGTGTGACCTTCGATTCAAAATCATGCACTGTAGAACGCCTTAGTGACAATAAGGTCATTCTACGTGGTGATAGAATCGATAACATTTATATGGTTAACTTAGACAAATCTCCTTCCAGCTTTGCTAAGTGCCTCATGAGTAAAGAGGAAGACACTTGGCTATGGCACCGAAGGGTAGCTCATATGAACATGAACCTTTTGAACAAATTGGTTTCACAAGACTTAATAATTGGCATTCCAAAACTTAAGTTTGAAAAAGACACCATATGTGATGCATGTCAAAAAGGGAAGCAAGTTTGGGCCTCGTTTAAGTCTAAAAACGTTGTTTCAACGTCTAGACCGCTTCAACTTTTGCACATGGATCTCTTTGGTCCTTCTAGAACGAAAAGTTTTGGTGGCAATTACTTTGCGTTTGTGATTGTCGATGACTACTCTAGGTTTACATGGACCTTGTTTCTAACTCATAAAAGTGAGGCATTTCATGTTTTCAAAAATTTCTTAAAGAAAGTTCAAAATGAAAAAGAAACAACCATAGTAGCCATAAGAAGCGACCATGGGGGAGAGTTCGAACGAAATCTGTTTTCAGATTTGTGTGAC